TGACAGCACTCTGATCCAATGGCATTGTCAGGTTTACAGTAAATCTACCCCAATAGTATTGGGGGGCGGGGAGCACCAGGGGGGCCAATCATATTCCAGGGGGGGCCAAAGCCACCCCCTTCCCCCCTTCTAGTATATTAATACTATATTATACTATACTAAACAATTTTTTTTATTAAAGGATTAGTTCACCCAAAAAATGAAAATTAAGTAATTAATTACTCGATTAAGTTAAGATCCCTTAGGCAGCCTATGTAGAGGTGATCCACCTCTCAAATTTAATCAAAAATATCTTCATTTGTGTTCCGAAGACGAACAAAGGTCTTAGGGGGTTGGTACAGCATGGGGGTGAGTAATTTCATTTTTGGGTGAACTAACCCTTTAAAGTACAAGTCAGTGATTCTGATAGTGTTTAGGCCAGCAGAGAAGGCCTCCTATGTATACACAGACTGATCTCATGAAGTAGCGTGTGTATGACACGCCAATTCGTATTTCCATTTTTGGCGTGCTATCAAGACGCATATTCGCCTTTCAGCGTGTTTATGAACGCCGTTGACTTAACGTTATATAAATATATGAGTTACCTCAACCCCGTCCCTAAACCTAACCGTCACTGGGGTTAATGGCATTTGACTGTTCCCTTTCCATCCTAGGTAAAAAAAAGATATGACTTACCTCAACCCCATCCCTAAACTTAACCGTCAGTGGGGTTAATGGCATTTATGACTGGAGATTTGACTGCGTGTACGGACACGCGGAATGACGCGGACATTAATGGCATAGACATATACGCATACACGCGGATAGCTCAAAATGCGTAGCGATAACACGCCACCTGACTCGAAAGTGGCGTATATGTTTACGCAAAAGTCATGATGTCATGTTGTTATACAGTACATACAGTACATGTGGCAAGCAGGATAAGGCCTGTGGCGTAACTGATAATGAGCGTCACCTGCATGCTGCACCGGTCTCCTATCTCTCACGGAGGACCTTAGCAAGCATAAAAGGAGGAGGGACGACAGTAAATGATGAGAGAGAACCAGGCCTGGATTTTACGCTATGTTATGTTTATGTGTGCAGCAGTTGTCCATGAGAGGCTGCCGCTTTTACTTTGGTTTATTATTAAAGTTTGTGAAACGTTCGCCGGTTGGTTCCCGCCACTTTCTTCCCACAAAATACCTTGTTACAATATAATATACAGTATATGACATGTTATATTATATTGTTTGTGTAATAGCCTAATTGTTGTGTAGTTAAGGACAACTATTTTATTGCATTTATGCTAAAGTCATTGAAGTTTGCGTTAACACTTGAATTGTTTTAAATAGATTTATTACTGAAATTATCTTATCATTTGGTAAAATGGAGACCTTCTCATTTCTAATTGTGAGTGCAATATTTTAAGATGAAGGACATTGGGCAGAATGGGCACATCAAATATTCAGTCTGAACAAATGATATTGAGAGTGATATGCATCAACCGTTAGACTGCAGAGAAGATTAATCTGGGGATAACACACAACAGAGACTTCTTAGAGGCGTGTGGATAAACAAATGATGGTAAAGCAGAAGAGAATAGGATACATTCATAAATCAAAACAGGAAGGTCTGAGTGGCCTTTTAAAGTCTTGATTGCCTTGTCAGCATATACATCTATTTCTATCAGACCAGGCAAGCACTCATTAAAAGATGCGTTTATCCATGAAGTAGCATGAACGAAACATGCAGACTCATATACTGTTCAGAGAACAGTTGAACGTCAGACATTGTCAATTGAAAAGAGCTGTCACTATACAGAAATAGCTGCAGCTAAAAAAAGTACTGATTCATTTGTAAGTGACAATGTAGCACAAACATTATGAAAACTCAATAATGATTACAAAAGTGTCCCATCCCCCACCCTGTCTCTCGGTCTATTGATCGGTCTGTAACAGAATATGGGGGTAAACTCAGCAACTGAGGGTGTGCGTGAGAGAAAGAATTTGGGAAGGTTTGTATTGTCACAAATAATGCATTGAAAATAATTCAAGGCACTGCATGTTCTGCCAGAAAAGTGTGTGTGTTAATTATTGGATTTTCTTTAATGAACTGCACACTGGATGAATAACCATCCAGAAAATAATGAATGCACCCACTGAGACCTGACCTCTGGTTATCTAAGAGAAATGCTGCAAGTCAGGTGGGAAAAGTCAAAGTGAGAAAGCAGAGCGAGTCAGAAAAAAGGTTAAAGTGAGAAAATCTGAGAACAAAGAATGTCTAAACTCTTAGAAAAAAAAATCAATAGGGTTCTTTATAGAAGGGTTGGCTCAATTTTAAAGAATCCTTAATGCAAAAAGGTTCCATATAAGGAGAAAAGTGTCACATGATTTGATAATACTTTCAAGGGTTATTTCCTAATCATGTTTACAAGCTGCTTTATTCATGATCCCAATGAAGGGAACCCCTAAAGTTTTCTATAAGAACCCTTTAAGTAGATTACCCGCCTATACAGTAGTACATTTTCTTCTAAAAGTAAGTTTGTAAAGAAAATATTTAAGGTAAAATGTGTAATTTTTTATGTTCAAATATTTTCTCCTATCCAACTTAATATGCTTAGACAATATGTAGCTAAGCAATTAGGTTTCTCTGAAATTGTTTTTTTTTTTTTAATCACTAACCGAAAAATCTTCTTACAGTTACTACATGCAGAAAGCTATAGGAGCCCATTTGGTCAATCCTCCCTATAATATCATTCATTCTATCGCAGATCTGGCAAAATAGACAAACGCAAATAACTGATGTGCATTCTCATTCTCATCAACTATAGCTCACAGCATGTAGACAGACTTTCTCCCTTAATAAACCAACAATTTTAACCAAGATTAAATAGTTAATAGCTAAAGTAAATACTCAAAAATGAACAGAATCATTATTCAGTGGAGTGGATGCTCAACTGTGCAGTGACATCATCACACATGCAGCCACAACAGAAAAAGCAACTGTCTTGGTTTTTATTTAGATTTACATTGTATTTGCATATATATATATATATATATATATATATATATACATTTTTTTTTATCTTATGCACAGTTAAAGTGACTTTTTAATCTAGGATCCAATTTTATTATATTCTGTCATTTATTTGCAGTCTGTTAATATGTAATAAAATATTTTAGCATTCTTTCTGACATCAGTAAAATGGATTGCAATCAATCCTTTTCACTATAATCTTTCCATTCTCGCACATTGTTGCCTATAGGCAAGATAGCTAAAACAATATATATTTTTCTCATTTTGTTTTTGATTGTATTTGATTATGAATTACATGCAAACCAAATATACATTTCATAATGCGTGCAACTGAATGTTAAGAACAGTGAACCCATGAAAAACAACATGTACAATATAATTCTACAAAATAATATTTGACTTTCTACATATTCATACGACAATAGCAGTACAACGAGAAGAAACTCTGGGTTTATTTACCAACATTTTCACGCCTTACCTCCTCCCTTCCGCCCCCATTCAATGTGGGCGCTTCTCCCGTCACAGTCACCCCTTGCATTTTTCACTAACATGTATTTCCACGGCACACACGGTCCAGGATGCGGTCCACCGTCAGGACCTCTCCGTAACCTACTTCACCCCATCAGCGGCGAGTGCCACCACGTTTCTATGGTGGCGATATCCACACTACACACGAGCATCCCCCCAAAAGATGCGTCCTTTCCTTTTCCTGTCTCACAAAGGTTATTATCACATCCCCTAATCTCTTCTGGATTCTATTCCGGTCAAGGATCAGGAATATCGAGTAACTGTTGCGCTTGATTTCCCCTCAGCAATTGTGTGACATAAGCGTCGCAAGCTCGACACGGAGCGATGGCTGGATAACAGCGCGTGCATCATATTCGCGGCTCGCGCTGCTCAGCCGTCTTTGTCGAAGATCACGGTGTGTCGTAATCAGTGGCGGCGAGATTAATCTTTTATTATATTCTCTACGATTTAGGGAAAGAAAATCCGCAATGTTGAAATGACAGAATCCTTAGACTTTCCTCTTCCCGAGCATCTCGTATTTTCCACCTCAACCTCCTTTCACCTGAACTCTCTCCTTGCGGACTTCACTCTGACGTCATCCTTAAACGCGAATAATTGGGCAGTTTGGACCAACCCGCTGACAGCGCGTGCTCATTCGAGGTTCGGTCCTCATAGTGTTTTTTAATAACTATTATTATCATTATTCGTTATTTAGTAGTCAAATAGTCAATGGTCGTGTTTATGTTGTTATGGCTAAAGCTGCGATGTAAAAAAAAAATAAACAGACAATCTCTCCAGTAGTGTTTTGAATGTGCACGTCTTGGTAGCGTGCCAAATCGTAATAAAAGTAGCATATTTTGGGCTATATATATTTTTAAAACTGTGGCCTACTTGAAGATAATGTAATAATAGTCCATTTAGACATTCCTGGTTGTTTCTTACGTGCACTTTTAAGAAGTTTCTTATATCATGCTTTAAATAATTGCACTTTGGCTATGTTGTGTTGACTAACACACTAAAGCACACGTAAAGTCTTTGATTATAATTTTAACTATATAGGCCTATGTGTGTTATTCAATATAGGCTACATAAAGTTAACATATTCCATCATTACAAATGTGTAAGTTTCAATAGAAATTACATTTATACAATAAATGGTTGTCAGTATATTCGACAATAGACTTAAACCAAATTTCATAGACAGTAGAAATAATTATGAAATTACTTATACAGATGCCCTTCTTAAGTATTTCAAAAATAAATCTGAAGTTCGACTAATTGCATTCAACATCAATTTAAATTGTAATAGGCTACATTTTCATTTAGTCGCAAATATCATAAAATTTGCAACTAAAACATTAATCAGTTTGCACTTAAAGGGATTTATATTATTTCATAATAAATGCTCTTTTTCAAAAGTAACCAATATTATATTTTACAAGACTATACTTTCAAGAAAAAAAATAGGGTCGTCTCTTACAACACTCCAGAATTTTATTTTTGCTGAAATATGAACAATATACTGCTAAAGTGTAATTTAATTTGATTCAATTCATTACATCAGAATTATTTTCCTATTTCCAATAATTCTAAGACATTTGGTTCTGCCTAGAATTCCTGACTGTACAAAAGTGCATGTAGAATGGAAAATCTATCACTGACTTAATATTTACTATATTTGTGGGGTTTCAGGTGAACACAGTGACACATTATCTTCCTCAATATGTGCCAGCATACAGTTGCTTTTTCTCAGTATAAGTCTCTGTGGATGGTCAGCTTGAAGATGATTCTGCAGACTGTCCCGTGTCTGTGCGGTCAAGCCACACTCCTCACACACATACAGTTTGTCTCGACGCTCTTTGTAGGCATACTGCTGAGTAATGGCATGGATCTTCTTTAGATGAGATTCCAAGGAGCAGCGCTGGGTGAAGGCTTTAGCACACAAAGTGCATTTATAGGGTCTCACACCTGTATATTGTAAGTTGAGAGGAAGTTAGAGGTGAAAATATATACAAACATTTTAAATATGTAAATATACATTATTATTATTCACATAAACTTACCAGTATGTGTACGTACATGCCTCTTTAGATCAAAAGTATCATTAAATCCTTTTCCACAGTGGTCACAAGTGTACTTCTTTGTTTCACTATGGCACTTTACATGGCGTTTCAGCATACGCACTGTAGTAAACGTCTTCTGACATACCAGGCAGGATAAAACTGATGCAGCAGGTGGAATGTCTGCTAATTTGCTCGCATTTTCTGGGATGACTGACAGCAGAGATGGCATATTACCTGTAGTTATCTGAAAATGGGAGAACAATGATATCATATCCTGCAACAGCACAGAAAATTCACACTAACATTACAACATGTGCCAAAGCAGCCGCTTTAAACCAAAAGAATTGTCAGCTCACCTTTATCTTTGAGCGCAAGTAAGGCACTCTTTGGGTCCTAATGCGACATTCTGGCTTGTGATTAAGTTGACCCTGTGCAGCAGAGGATGGCAGCTTTGCAGTCAGGAATTTGTTTTGGGCAGTTGTGAAGCAGGAGTATTCTGCAATGTTTCCCTCTGAGACTTCATGCACATATGGTGGAAAAAGGGACTCTAGGGAGCAGCAAAAGCAGAGAGAGGGAGATCAACAGATTTTGACTGGCCACTGAGTTCAAGTACTCTTAATTTATGTAATCATTTTTGTTATGCAGCAGCAAGTAATACAGGCATACAAAGCGGTGTATAAACATTCAATACAATGTAGCCTACAAATATAGAATTCAGAGTCAGAATTAACCTTCATTTAAAAGTCATTTAAACATATAGATAATAATAAAAAAAGGAAAGGACAAGACATATAATACAAATAAATTAATATAGTCAATAATGCTCGGATATAGGCCTAACAATAATAATAAGAAACTATTTTTTCTTATTGCTTAGTCTAACCGCATTTGTCAACATAAAAGGAATTATAATAGCCTACCTTAATTATGCATTATTGAATTATGTTAACTTCCCAGCCTGTGACACACAAACATGAACGAGACACTCACCAGGTATGTCCCCAGACTCCCCACGCGAGGAATCCGGAATCTCACTCCAGCTTCTTTTTCCAGTAACGATGTTCACTTTTTTGACCAAGAATGCACGAGGCATTTTCGAAAACCTAGAGAATGGTTTATTATGTTAGTCTAAGTTCCTAGAATGCTTTTAAGCGGATCCTCTCGCAACAGTTATCCACAATTCAACTATCCCTTTCCTTATAACAAGGAAATCGCCAGGTGATGTTGCGCATGCGCAGAAACATAACGGCGCAGTGCAGGTACAAGTATAACCGGTTCTCAACCTTAGCGAGAAAGATAAACTTGTTACTATGTATTGTTTTAAATAGTAACCTGTTCTTGTTAGTTTGATAATGATAATGTACAATGGTAATGTAAAACACTGATAATGTACTTTTAGTCAATTTATCAACTTTTTAAACCATGGCTTGAGGTCTGTCTGGGTGTGGGTCTACTCCTTTGTTTAGGTGTTTTGTCTTTCTGAATGGAGGTGTATCGCTGTAACAGTAGGCTATCAGCAGGGGGCAATAGTGCCCTGTCACATATATTTAGCCTACTAAAGTTTTAATACACCACTGATTCTTGAAAACATGGGTGTTTCATATAATAAAATTATTCTGACGCTTTGCTATAGATATATGTTTAACATAAGCTGTTATCAGTTAAGAGTAGGCTAAATCAAACCTTTGTATGCAAATTAGTTTGGAGCCTATGTCTCAACAATCAGATAAGAGTCACAGTAAAACGACCCTCCCACACACATACACAATGAAAACACAAACAAACCTAAGTACCCTGTGAAAATGAATAGGCTACACGAGAGCTATATGTTTATAGGCTACACAATGTGTCCATGCACTTTGTTGAAACTACATCAGTTGATAAATTAAGGGAATATTAGATAGCCTATTTTTTTAATAAAGTTTTATACACAGCAGGAAAACAGTTTTGATTTTTTTTTTTTGGGGGGGGGGGGGGGGGGGGTCCATTTTTTATGGAGTAGCCTATGTTTAAAAGCCAATGTTACTACAGAGAGAACATAGGCAGTCCTTTCAACACAAAATATAATGAATAAATAATGTCCAATAGCGGAGCAGTCACATTTGCTTTTCAGCCAATTTTGACAAACATTTTAAAACGATTTTTTATTTATTTACGAATAGTTTTTGAACAAATAGTTATAATCAAACTTGACCGATTGGACCAACGAGGCATCCGTAGTTTAAAATATAGCAAACATGGCGCTGCCCACTGGTGCAGTTCAAATCTCTCAGCATGTTAGATAATAATATTGTTGCCAATTGTTCAGAAATTTGTCGTGTTTGAAATATCAGTATTTCGAAAACCATGGCTATTCAGTGCGTGTTATTGGGCGTAAAGCGTTGTCGCCCATTTATTTCGCCGTATCGACTGACAATGTTTCAGTCTTTAAGAGCTTCCGTGTCTACAGCGACCCAGTTCGTTAAAATCAATGATATCACAACCATTTTGAGTCCACTGCGTTCTCACGTGCGCGTGAAATCAGTCAGGAACGCATATACTTTCACCTCCACTGCCGTCGCAAAAGACGTGATTCTCTTTAAACATGACCGGACCCGTTTCTTCAGACTTTTGGCCATTTTTTGTGGTGGTCAGTTTGTATTCTGGGCATATCTGGCTCACTTTGCTTTCACAAGTCTTCGAGACACAAGAAGAAATAGCGGTGAACCTGCAATGGTTAGAACTGAGTTAGGGGGGCTTTTCAGTTTTGATATGAACCTTGGTTCAAATGCCTGGAGGTATGGATTCACCCTAGGATGCCTAATCATTGGTAAGAATTAAGTCTGCAATTTATCTGCATTTTATTGTATTCGAGCTGTATAAAATGTCTTTTTTTTCGGTTGTCGTAGGTGGAGGAATTGTCGGACTGGCAGTATTGTTCAGCCGTCGTTCTGTCAGTCGTGTAATACTGCATAAGGGAGGTGGAAATGTGACCGTGTGGACACAGTCACCGCTGGGACCTCTCAGAGCTCACCATCTAACTGTGCCTTTGACTCAAGTGACCTGTCATGCACACAGACAGGAATCACCATCATTTATTCCTCTTAAAGTCAAGGGGTACAAGTTCTACTTTCTTTTGGACAAAGATGGGACACTGAATAATCCTAAACTATTTGATATTACTGTTGGGGCCTACAGACCTTTATAATATGTCCTTTACACCCCTTTGTGACTCTACTTCACTGTGGATGTGTCAAATCTGCTATTCATTTCGTTTCTTGTTGCCCTGAAGCACTGAAATTAGAAGAGGAATGAATTGTGTAACTTTACTGTTAATAATAAAACTTTTTATCTGGGATTTGTGCTGATTTAATAATAAAAAAAAAGCTTAAACAGGCATATTCTATCTCTGCCATCTGAGTTTTGTGACTCATAGGCTTAGTCATATCCCTATTACAAGTTTCTGACTAGACAAAATTATACTTCTGTCTATGCTTTTATTTTCTCAGCAGCATCCATGTGTTGTGGAGCCCTAAAGGGACATGGTGATGGAAAAATATGAGAGAGGAGAAATGAGATTTTTTCCTGCCATCTAATTTTTATCTAATTTTTCTAATTTTTATTTTACTTTTTTTTTTGTACCAGTCAACAGTTTGGAAACTGTTATATGTTATTTTATTTATTTGGTCAAAAATACAGAAAAAACAGGAATATTGTGAAATATTACAATTTAAAATCATGGTTTACTATTTTATTACTGTAAATTATAAAATATTTCTGTGGTGCAAAACTGAATTTTTGGAATCATTGCATCATAACAATTGAGTTTGCTGCCTATTTTTTTAACCTGTTGTGCTTTTTTTATGGTTAAAGTTAAAAAGACAATTTATTCAAAATATAATTTTTGTCTAACAATATAAATCTTTTCTTTCACTTTTTATGAATTTGACGCATCCTTGTTGAATAAAATTATTAATTTCTTTCACAAAAAAATTACTGACCCCAAACTTTTGAATGGTATATTGTTACAAAAGATTTCTATTTTCAATAAATTATTTTTTTACTTTACATTCATCAAAGAATCATAAAAAAAAGAAAAAAGTATTTACAAAAAATATTAAGCAACACAACTCTTTCCAATATTGATAATAAATCAGCATATTCAAATTATTTCTGAAGGATAATGTGTGATGCTAAAGACTGGAGTAGCCTAATAATGCTGAAAATTCAGCTTTGCATCACTAATTTATATTTATTTAAATAAGTATAGCCCATTTAAATAGAAACCCGTTATTTTAAATTGTAATTTCACAATATTACTGTTTTCTGTGTTTTAAAAATGCAGCCTTTCAAAAATGCAGCTCTTTCAAAACCCTTTTTTTTTTTTTTTTTTTTTTTTTTTTAAATAACAATAGGCTATTTATATTGGCAAGAGACCTGGCTGACAGGCATGAATCGTTCATAATTGTCTAGCCGGAAAGCAGAACACATCAAAATGACTTAACATTTAAAGTTGGTCACTCACAACACACTGATTTGGGGGGAAAGGTGTTTTTTTTAAAACATGATAATATAATATAATATAACATGATTTTGTATAACAATATTATAATTAACCTAACTGACAATGACACATAAAATGAAGCACATGTCTGTTTGCTCATACCCAGTTCAGTGATTCATGAATGTCCTACCGGTTCTACAACGGTTCCCTTATTCATACATTTCAAACCTACACGTCACTATTGGCAAAATATGGCTCTAATTGAAATCCAACGTGTAGGGTGTGAGCTATATGGAAGCTTCTGGAGCTCTTAAACCACGTTTCAAACTTCGGGACGTTTACTTGGTTTCCCACTTCCCAGTGAATATAATTTTAGTGAAAGTTAGTTGGCGCTTTTAGCAATGGCAAGAATGTAATGGCCATTAGAGGCACATTAGTGGCCACTGAGGAGAAAAGGCGGTAGATTGGAAACGATAGATGCTTCACTGATGGGGAGGAGAGATAGAGTGGGTGTGAGAAGGCGTTGAAACATTTCAAGAAAAGTTGCACGTGTTTTGGTTTATTTTTCATCATTCGCCCTAATGGATTTATCATAATTTTGTTATTTTTCTGCTATCGGATCTGTGCTACATTTCAATTAACGGGAGATGGGTTTAAACGACCTTAACAAAGATAAATAATATGAACTTGTAGGATACTGGTCTGGTTTGATAATAATGAATAATGAATCATAATGAAGGAAGAGAAACGTTTTATCGTATGCATGATTCCCAGATTCCTCAATCATGGATGGACCCGGAGAACTTAACGGCCTTTCACATAAGTTCGGTAGGCTATTTTTTTTTTAATTATTTAAAAACATATTATTTTTTTAGGATCTTTAGCCTACTTGAATATATTTTCAAATCATTTGAGTTAAATAAAAGGAATATCATAGCTGACAATAGTTGTTTTTCTTCTGCATCTGCATTGTAAAAAATATTGTTGGTTTAACTTAAAAAAGTACCTGGTTGCCTTAAAATTTTAAGTTAATTGAACTGGAAAAAGTGAGTTAATACAATGAAGGAGATTAATTTAATCATCAGAAACTCAAAATAATAAGTTATCGCAACTAAATAATTTATTTAAGTTGATTTGTCAAAAGAAAAAATGTTGTGATAAGAAATCTTGAAAAAATATTTTTTTTAAATATATATTTTTTTACAGTGTGCAATATAAAGCTAATTGTTAACAGTTTATTTTAATATTTTGCAGAATCTCACTGAGGAAACATCTAGCCCAAGTCTTGATGTAATTACATCTAGTCCAGATCTTCAGTGGCTTCTGCAGTCCTCTCTACTTTCCCAATCAGAGACGACATTGGGAACATTTTGTTCATTCATACCCAGCACCACCATGCCCAACTGCCCCTGTTTGCCACAGTGCTCCAGTCCTGACCAGTCCTATAACGGAGCAGTGGAGGACAGTGCTGTAGGACAAACTAATAAGCATGTAAGTTACTTATATTTATGATATTTTAAGAGTTTGCAATGCAGAAAATAGGGAAAGTGAACTTCCGGTTCCAGTGACTCATTCATTTATGGTAAAATATAGAAATGACTCACACCTGAATCACAAAGGGGCACGAGGAGTGAGTCAGTGCTGTGGTATTTGAGCGGGAATCTTAAAGCGCAGGCTCAGATGGATCACAATGACATTGGTGCCAATGGATGAGTAACAGGAACAGCATATTTGGAATAGGGTAGAATTGCTGTGGGTATGCTTTCTTGTTATCCGCCATAAGATGGCAGCACTGCACTCTTTTAGACTTAAAAGGGCTAGTTCACCCAAAACAGAAAATGTTCCCATAATTTACTCACCCTCAAGCCATCCTAGCTCTATAAGACTTTCTTCTTTCATCCAAACACAATCAGATTTATATATGAAAATATCCTGGCTCTTCTTTGCTTTATAATGGGAGTGAATGGTACACTGTAAAAAAATAAAACCGTAATTTTTATAGTAAAAAAAAACGGCAGCTGTGGTTGCCATAACTTTACCGTCAAAAATACGGTAGCAACATTATTGTTTTTAAAGACTTAACTTAAAATTTTCAGTAAAAAAACATATTTTATAATCTGATATAATGTTAATAGACCAACAGATTGAAGACTTGATTTCTGTTGTGTATCACTGACAACCATCAATCATCAGAGCATGATCAATCAAAGCTCATCACAAGCAGCCTTGCTAATAAAGAAGCTGCACAATGTCATTCACACAAACATTAAATATCATCATGATAACACACATGAAATAAAAATGCAATAAACATTCATTTAACAACATTAAATGTAATGTAAATAGAATAGATGTAAATAGATGTAATTTTTGGGTGAACTATTCCTTGAAGCTTAATGGTTCTTAAATGAAATTAGTCTTCTTTTATAGATGTCCTCTGAGGAACTTGACAGGATAAGGATCCGCAGGGAAAGGAACAGAGTAGCAGCTGCCAGATGTCGGGATCGCCGTCGGATACTTATTGACACATTACAGAATGTGAGAAGGGTTATTATTTGTGGTATAAACTATGCTACAGACGCCTAGCTGTATATCCTGAGCTTGTGCTTTTTCTTTCAGGAGACGGATCATTTGGAACAAGTGAAGACGCAACTGGAAAAAGAGATCGCTGCACTTGAAAGGGAGAGAGAAAGACTAGAGTTGGTTTTTGAGGCACATATGCCCATCTGCAAGTTTAATGACCCAAAAGCAGAATAAACACTGATGCTGGTCATGTTTAGTGCTGAGTCTGCTGGTTCAGATCAGCTGTGTATTTTATAACGTAATAGGCTTATATTTGTTTAAGAAAGCGAAATGTTCAAATATATTTCAGTGATATTGGCTACCTTGAGAATTATTATCTTGCATGCAGATTTGTTTTACTTGTTTTTGTAATAAACCACAACTTCAAATAGCGTTTCTCTGTCAAATCTTTTTGTACCATGGGTGTAGGGGTGTAATTTGGCTGGGCGTAAGCTCCATAATTTGTATATTTATTTATTTATTTAGCTAATATGTACTGTTCAAAAGTACACTCTTAGAAGAAAAGGTTCTATCAGCGCTACGTATTTGGAACCCCTAAAAGGTTCAATAACAAGAACCCTTTAGGGTTCTGTGTAACCAGGAAAAAGGATCTATATGGAACCTTTTGGTTTCATTCATTATCATTGTTTTGTCCTTCCCGGATTAAATATTTCAAATATATTGTTCGCTGTAGCAGGTTAATGTTAGTCAATGCATTAACTATTTAACCCCTTGTTACCCTTTTCTCATTTTGACAACTTCAAGTGTGTTTAAAGTGGAAGAGCTAAAAGACCCCCTAGTGGAGAACATATAATATGACTTTCTCCTGTCTGATGTTCTGGCAAGGTGAGAATTTCACACATGAGGCCATATTTACAGTATATTCCAACCCCTATATTAGACCTTGTGGAGAAGGTAATGCACTGATACTGTAGATATTGATAAACTGCATGCCATGAGATGATATTTGTCCCAGAATAGTCCCATGTTGAATGTGTCAGAATGATTTTCGTTTCTCCTCGCAGTTCATTGAACCGTGCCGGTCAGACAAATGGACAATCAGAGACCTCAGACTTTTCCTCAGGCCAGCAGCTCTGTGCAGACGCTTCAGGCTTTCAGGTTACATGCATTTATGTGTGTTTGTGATCACTTTATCATATAAAAAACATTTGTCAATAATAAAATGTTTTGTTGTTTTTTCCCCACAGGCATCAAGTCCAGCCCATTCTCACTCCCAAGGCGTCACCTAACTGACGCCTTGGGAAGCATTTGGACATGCTTCAATATCTGACGCTTTAGGCGCCCTTTAGCGTCAGTTAGATGACGCCCTAGGATCGCGTGTACCCTACCCCCACCCCACACCTAAACCTAACCGCGTCCGAAAGCGTCAGTAAGATGACGCCGTAGGATCGCGTCATGTAAGTGACGCTAAAGGGCGCCTAAAACGTCAAATATTGAAGCATGGTCAAAGGTGACGCCTTGGGGTGAGAATGCGTTGTCAAGTCATATGATACACTCTGCTCTCTAAAACATGCTGGGTTGTTTCAGCCCAAATTTGGGTCAAATATGGACAAACCCTAATGTTGGGTTAAAAATGCAATTACAGTTGAAAGTGAAAGTTGAAGTCTAAATGACATTTTTAACCCAACATTTGGGTTTGTCCATATTTTACCCCCAAATTTGGGTTCAAACAACCCAGCATTGTTTAGAGTGTGAAAATACCATAACTTTTCATTGCTGGTTTCCAGTTAGCTTGATCAAATTTCTCTTTGATAATTTTTACAACCTCAGATCCCTCTGTATATCAAAGTATTCTTGTATAGAGTAAAAAAATTCTGCCTTAATTGCTGGTTTTAAAAGTGGTCATTAGGATAGTCCTGTTACTTATTATTTGGGTAATAGTAGCTACCTGTTTGTGTGCACAGCGGGTGTGGGTCATCAGCAGGGGGTCTGGTCAGCTCTGGAGTGGATGGATGAGGAGACACTTTTACTACCTTATAAAAGGCCAGAGCTGGGACAGCTGTCACCCCTTACAAATGGTCACGGAAATTTCCTTTGGATATCTGCAGAACTTTCCCTGGCACTCCTGCTGTTTCTGAAAGTAGGCTACCTCTGTTGTTTCCATCAAAGCCATTGTCTTAATGGTTCTTAATTCTGTGTGTAATGAAGACGCATGATGTTCCTGGCACCGGGTTGTGTGTTACAGTCAAATCAGGAGGGGTGCCTCCTTTTTTTTGCCCTGTTAATTTGTGTCTGCATTCCTCTTTGACATCCCCCAGTAAATATCCAGCAGCGTCAGACACAAGCGAGCTTGATCAGGAGGAAAGCTAACCAGGTAAAGTGTATTAAAAATGGGAAGTAATTAAGGCCTATGAATTGCACAGGATTTGCCTAATAAAACCCAGGTGGATTGTTTTGCAAGCGGACAAAACATAATAGATTTGGGATTTGGTCTGGAAACCAGGAATTTGGAGGGGGGGGGGAAAGGCTGGAGGGTGAAGAGTGGTAGAGATGCAGGGGTGGGGAGGGGAAGAAGTGGGCCGTCCTAAGCTCCTTTTAATAGCATTGCACCTTTCCTCACATTCGAAATAAACCGCTATCCCGACTTGGGTCCTGTCTGTGGTCAGAAACAGAGTAACAGACCTATGCTGAGGAGGGAGAGAGAGACGAACAACACAACAGATCAAGCAAAGTGAGTTTCAAACCATCTGTATTTGACTCCTGTGCATTTGCAATGTTTAAAGTTGAGAATAGAAGTAAGTAATCTAAGTGAGGTTATTTAAGCGTACATGAAGAGAAAGCATTCATCATTCCAGGACGTTACAGTCCTTGCAACTCCTACTACAATGAAATGTTGGATAATGAAATGCTTTGCCAGATATGACAGAATTCTTTAGTTTGAATTATAGTTGAGGATTGGACGGATATGAGTGCATGGAATGGCCTATGTTATCATATCCTGCAGAGTTCAGACACTGGCCATGTTACTGCCTCTTATAGGCAGGCCAACTCCACTGTTCCAGAACAAACAGTAAAGCAAGTCCCTAGAAATCAAAGGAGAGTCAAGTCAGTTTATTTATAGAGCACAAATAAAAACAAGTAATGTACAAGATGGTATAATTTTTCTAATGGTTAATATAATTAAGTACCCAAAGGTTAAAAAAAAACAACAACAACCTCAAAACTACAGAGAAAGATCATCTTTAATAATGAAACATAAATGAAGGCATATAGTTTATCAGATGATTTGAAAGTCCTAAAGGGATAAGGAAGGATGAAGTTAGAGAGATAAGATATAAGAAGCTATACAAACAAATAAAAAAAGCCTTATAATAAATTTTTGATTGTGGTGTAACAAGTTTAGAGAGGCCAGAACAGTTGAGAGACTTTTCAGGTGTTTCCTCAAAAAGCTGGATATACCCGTTTTAAACCTTTTATTAGTTTTGCTGATATAAATAAATGTGTTTAGGTTGATTCTGTGATTAAATATTATATTTGACTTGATTAAAACCAGTTAATGTTACCATTATTTTTGTATACAGTATAGTCAGGATGAGATGAGCGCATGAATATCTGTCTACAGATCATTGAATGTGAGGAATGGAAATCCGTCATGCGATATCTGATTATATGCACCGACTTGTCTTGTTTTCAAGAACAGCCCAGTTATCAACATCAAAATCATAAACTTGTATTTGAATTAGCATCAGATTTGACAGGAGTAATATATTTGTTCAAGACTTTGTTATATTTATGTAAACCTAATCTCAGTTGGATTTAAAAAATATATAAATATGAATTTTCATGCTGGTCAAGCTGCTGGACAATGATATTGTAAACACTTGCAATAGGGTTAACAATAATGCTAATGCTAATTTCTTTGCATGCTAATACATTTTAAAAATGTCATCTTGTTTAAATTAACAATATATGATGCATGAAAGCATGAATATGAATAAAAGTAGTACATGATCAAATATAAATCAACATGAACCGTCCTAGATCAATGTTATTTTAGCATCTTTTTGATACTTTTTTCATTTTAATTTTAAAGTTTGTCATTTTTAATGTCTATACAGTGTAGTGTTTAAATTGTACTGTAAGTGTTAACAATCATAATGGTAAAACATGTGGAGGTGATCAGCAATGCTGGCCTTTTTAACAGGGCACTTTCACTGCTTCCAAATGTGTATGTTTGTCCTCTCCCTGTTAACACATTTATTAGCAATTAGCTTTGTTATTCTTTTTTTTTACAAGGGTTCTTCACCCCCACCTGTCTGTCTGCCCCCTCCTTATATTACCAGAGGAGACGAACAGACCTCCTTGCACATCTGTTCTCTCTCATCGGGCCTCTTTGGAGTGACAGTGTGCCTTTACGACATCTATACATTTGTTCATCCATCCAGCTGTGAGTGTGGCAGTGTGAGTGTCCTGTACCCTGTAACTATGAAGGCCACATATGTGCTACTTTGTGTGGGTCTGCTTGTTTTTCCTGCTACAATCTGTCAGTCTCCTGCTGAACGTGACTCTTACGCAGTAAGTAATTTGACAATTTCTCCATGTTCCTTCTACCGCCCTCTTCATGCTTGAACATGTAAATGTCTATCTGCCTTCCTACGTAACTCCCCATGTAGTGTGGTATTGTATGCTGTCAGACAGAAGTCATGTTCCTGTTAATGAAAGTGAGTGAGACTGCTAATGATTAAAGATAACACATTGTAAAGTGTGTTTTCTCTGCCAGGAGTGTACAGATGGCTATGAGTGGGACGTGCAGACTCAACTCTGTCGAGGTGGGTGGAAGGTCATGTGCCAGAGAAAGAGAGAGAGATGATGAGAAAGTGATGCATTTCTCTTCTAATTATCTTGTTGGTAAAATGTCACATGCACAATCCGTCTGTCCTGCCCCTGTGTCTGGCTGCATATTTGAATGTTGAAATGCACTATGTCCAGATCAGATGCAATGCGATAAAATGCAGGCGAAAAATGTAAAATTTAGGCCTATAACTGTGCAGGGTGACCCCGCACACATCAAACTCACATTGGTTCAAAATCCTGCTTCATATAAATGCATATTAATAATGTCATTTATGTAAATTATATAATGCTTTTTGATGTTAAAATACTCTCTATCCTTCCTACCCTAATATGCCAGATACCACATATCTTAACAGGGGGGTTGCCTCAAAAAAGAAACAAATTAAGTCATTTCATCTGAGATTTTGTCCCAACTTGCCATGATTACGACATCAATATCATTTGGTAGGTTCCTATTTCTGAGGATTGTGAACCTACCAAATGATAGGTTCACAATCCTCTTTGGGCCTCTTATTTGGGCCAAATCCCACTTCACTGTCAAATATCCTGACATACAAATCAGAGAGGATCCAAGGGAGAGAGAAAAAACAAAACAAAAAAACATTTGATACAAATTACCAAACTATAGTTGTTAACGTTTTTATAATTTTATTTGGTACATTTCATTTACACTAAGACATTTCTGAGGTCTTTATGGCTGTTTTTCAATGTTTGACTCTCTTTAAAAGGAATACAGTACTTTACACAAAAACAAATATTAGCCTATGTCATTATTTACTCTCCCCTATGTCGTTCATAACCTGTATGACTTTCTCTGAAAGAATGTTGGTAACCAAATGTGTTTGGTCAGCAAAAAAAAAAAAAAAATCCAGAGAAGAAAGAAATTTATTTAGGTTTGGAACATGTAAATTATGGCAGAATTTACTTATTTGGGTGAACAATTCCAGCCCGTTTTCGTCCCAAGGCGTCATATACTGATACTTTTGTTTTGACATTTCGTGTACATCCAACGCACATGGCACCCTTTAGCGTCAATATGAGACGCAGCTCTATATGGGCCAGAAGGCGCCTCCTAGTGGTCTAACCCTAAACCTACCTATAACCTACCATAAGCGAACAAAGCTCTGTGCGTGTTATATTGACGCTAAGGGTTTGGTTTAGACGAAATTTCAAGTGTCACTATATGACGCCCCATTAATATAATGTATGATTTCAGTTGCCAAAGATTTGATAGAAATTCGAACCTCTGTATATACATATGATATAACTTTTACCTGTCTAGCATTTAATAAAAAAAAAAAGAAAAAATTGAAAAAAGGACATTCAAATGACTTCTCAAATGAGAAACCTAAATCATCTTCTCTATTTTGCTTAGACATAAACGAGTGTGATACTATTCAGGAGGCATGTCAAGGAGAGATGAAATGCTTCAACCACTATGGTGGTTACCTGTGCCTTCCTCGCTCTGCCCATGTGGTCACCGCACCCGAGTCCTCCAGCCAATCAGAGCCCAGTATGCCTGTAGAGACTAACGAGGCCTTTAACCCCTGTCCCGTAGGCTACAGGGCCCAAGGAGAAACCTGTGAGGGTGAGTAGTTTAAAGGCAGATGTAGGATATGGTTTTCGATTGAATATGTTTATCAGTGTTGTGTACAGAAGCTCTTCATCATTTAGAGGATTGTGTGTGTATTGAACAGACATTGATGAGTGTGAATTGGACATGCATGACTGCCAGCCCAGCCAGCAGTGCATCAACACCGTGGGCACCTACACCTGTCAGTGCCCTGACGGCTACAGCAAGATTGGCATAGAGTGTGTTGGTGAGAGAAAAAATGATCTGCCGTTTTCACAGAGAGAAACTGAAATGAATTCTGCAGTCAGGAATCATCATGGCCAATTTAATTTGTATTGGATTAGGCTTCTGTTCTACAGTCTACAGTGTCGTCTTCTCTTTTCTGTTATAGATATTGATGAGTGCAGGTACAGGTACTGTCAGCATCGCTGCGTGAATGTGCCAGGATCTTTCTCTTGTGAATGTGAGCCTGGATTCCAGCTGGCAGGAAACAACCGATCCTGTGTTGGTAAGTCCTTAACCAGAGACTGTTCATATTCCAAAAGAAACAACATTTTCTTACACACTCGCAACATTAGTTTGACAGGTTAATCAAAATGCCTTGATCTTCCTATGTTAGTGCTTATATATTGTGGATTTTGCCTGCTAACTCTATTAAAAGTGCTTGTCGCGTCTTTACAGAGTGTGAAGTTTTGTTGCCACACAACCACTCGCTATGCGTACAAAGATGTCAACATAGATTTAATGCTTTCTATTCAGAAACGTTATTTAACACAGAACTTCTAACATCTCTGTTCTTTGTTGTCAGATGTAAATGAGTGTGAGATGGGAGCACCTTGTCAGCAAAGGTGTTACAACAGTTATGGCACATTCCTGTGTCGCTGTGATCAGGGCTATGACCTGGGACCTGATGGATACTCGTGCAATGGTTAGTGCACAAAACATTTGACCAATTGATCGTGGACTGAATGTGACTGGTTTTCTTTCTCTTCTCCCAGATATCGATGAGTGCAGCTATTCCAGTTTCCTTTGCCAGTTTCAGTGTATGAATGAGCCTGGAAGATTTTCCTGTGTTTGTCCAGACGGTTACGAGCTAATTGGAACACGACTCTGCCAAGGTAAAAGTCCGCATATTTAAAGTTGCAGACCGTAGCTTTTTTGGGGTTAAAAAAATACACAACCAGCCAGTGTTCAAAACTCTCTGCTTGCCTTAGCTCGATTCAAAATGGTAAGCTTGTAAAAATGTTTTTAATTCTAGTGGTACTGGTGGATTTCCGTCATTACACCACATCTGTACACATAAAGAAGACTCTCGGCTAGTATACGCTATATTGTGTGTGTGAGGATGTTGGAGGTGGAGATGTATAGCCTTTTCTCACAGCACTTGATATAATTAAACTTATCAATTTGATGGTGGATCCAGAAAGGTTCAAACGACAATCAACAGTCCGCTGTAAAATGCAAAAGACTTCGTTCGGACTTCGGAGTGAAAAAAAAAGAGACTGCAACCGGACCATGCGAAAACAAGGATACATATCGGAAGGACATTACATGTAGTCACACAATGCTAACATTAACCATTTCAGAACAAAGTATAATTTGCACGGTTTTATACCCTACATCATTTATAGCACTAAATGACTCGTACATTCAGCTAACGCCAAATAAACCCTTGGTTTCAGCTTGTCATAATAATTCTGTGTGTAGATGTGAATGAGTGTGAGACAGGCACTCATCTGTGTGGGGAGAGACAGGTCTGTGTGAATATCCATGGAGGGCATCAGTGTTTGGACTCCAACCATTGCCAGGACCCCTACGTCCAGGTCTCAGAGAAGTGAGTCAACATTTAACTGAATTAGTCATGTTTTGGCCCTTAGGGGTGTAACAATACATTGATATGACCATCGATATGCAACTGAGTCAAATCGGATCGTAATCGAATTGCTGAATTTTTTCTATGAGTTGGCTATGAGAATCGATATCATATCGTATCGTGATGAATCATCTGATTTAACACCCTTCTCCATTTTTTCCTTTTCATTTTTTGTCACTTTATTTCTGTCCAGTCGTTGTATATGTCCAGTGGTGAAGCCAGAGTGTCGAGACATGCCTTTCTCCATTGTGCATCGATACATGAGTATCACCTCTGAACGCTCGGTTCCCTCAGACATCTTCCAGATCCAGGCCACCAGCGTCTATCCTGGAGCCAACAACTCCTTTCGTATTCGTTCTGGAGACGACAATGGAGAATTCTACATACGGGTTAGTATGAGATGCAATGCCTTTCATACATCAGTTTCAAAACTTTAGTTACATAATGTGTTATTTAGTACAGACTGATAAAAATAGCTCTGGTTTGCTTTTTTAATTATTATAACTTATTAAAACTTTGGGGTTAGTAAAATGTATGAATATTTTTGAAAGAAAGTCTCTTACTGTTCACCAGGGCTGCACTTATTTGATAAAAAAAATACAGTAAAATCAGTAATATTTTGAAATATTATTACAAATTAAAATAACAGCTTTGTATTTATCCCTGTGATGGCAAAGCTGAATTTTCCAGTCTTCTGTTTCACATGATCCTTCAGAAATCATTCTAATACGCTGATTTGCTGCTTAACAAACATTACTTATTATGATTAATATTTGAAGCTGACTTGAGCTTTAAAACTGTTGTGCTGCTTAATATTTCTGTGGATTTTGTGGATTATCAATATTCATTCTTTGATGAATAGAAATTAGCAGAACAGCATTTATTTAATGCATTCTTGCTGAATAAATGTTACTTAAAAAATTGTACTGGCCCTAATCTTTTGAATTATATTATATAAAATAAAGATTTTTTGTAATTTTATTATAATAACATTTTATTATATTATTAATACATGATCATTGTCACATATTTGTTTATGTTGATAGTGACCTAATAGAGCAGAATCTTAAAAATTTTGTCTTATTGTTTCATCTCTTGTCCCCAGCAAATCAACAACATCGGTGCCATGTTGGTTTTAGCCCGAGCAGTGACTGGACCAAAGGAGTACGTCCTCGATTTGGAGATGGTGTCTGTCAATCCTCTCATGAACTACCAGACCAGCTCTGTTCTTCGTCTCTCCGTTTATGTTGGGCCTCATGCTTTCTGAGGAGAGAGAAAAGGATGGATAAACATAGACTGAATGCTGAATGATAGAATAATTTAAATTCAGTCTATTTCTGCTTTCATGTGTTAATAATTGGGATCACAATTCCAGAATTATCCGGCTAATAATGTGAAGTCGTCTTTTTTTGTGACTGACTGGCCTGTGACTGCGGGCCTATTCCGGGAAGTGCTAAAGCATTTGAACATTCATTCCTCTCACTTTGTCACTGTGGACTCATTCTCACACTTAAATAGCATACAAGTACACACACGTATCAGCTCCAAATATTTCAGAAAGATAGATCAACATATCGTTTCTTATTCGTACCAGTTTTTGCTAATAAAATCCCGCAATGCATTTTTACAGTATATTTATATCTAACCTACAGACAACACATTCAAAAGTACCTTTGTAATTGCATGTATCTAGTGTAATAGTGTGTTATCTCAGAAAACAGTAACAAACTGAAGACAAGTACAGGTCTCTGTGGGCCTTGAATGAAACGAGAACACATTTCTTTGTAAATAATTTGTGAAACCATTCTTAAGTAGATTTCTGCATTTTGTCTAATGCATATTGAATTCACTTCTGCTTGTGTTTCCTCAATTCCAAAACTCCTTAATGATACGAAAATCTTTTTTTTTTGTTTTGTTTTATTCATGTTTTTTTTTTCATAATTACATTGTTAAAGTAAAAAGTAAATAAATGTAAAAAAAAATGTCTTAATCCTCCCTTCATATCTTTGTTTTTATAATCTTTTTCTTTCTTGTCTGTATAGGCGGAAAACATCCAATTTTTTGTACAATAATTTCGTTTTAATTTCTCCTGATTTGAAGTGTTGAAGGTAAGTAGATGAACTGTATTACTCAGGTGTCTCCACATGGTGACAGTGTAACACTGGTGAACACATAATATTTTTTCCCTTTTACAGTCACTTTTAAGGGCAAAAGTGTTGCCAAAAATAAATGTCACATGACCTACTGTACTTCAAATCTACTCTTCCTAATATTTTCATTCTCAAAATACTATGTATTGACTTAGATTTTAAGCTGTTGTGTAGTTTCGAAACAAATTTACTGTAGGCCTACATCATAGCCAAAAAGACAGAAGAAGTAATGGACATAAGAGTAATAACATGCAGTCAATATAAAAACTGATAGCCTACCTGATGCTAATTGGAGTGTAAAAGGCTCGTGTTTTTGCAGGCCATTCATTAACATAATTTCATCAATGGACTCTCACTTGTGGAACAATGGAAAAACGAGTAGGAAGTTTTATTTGAGTCAGCGTCTGATTAATTACTGCTACAGGTGTGTGTGTGTAAGAATCTGTGTGTTAATTATAACGGCATGTAGTGAACTGTCAAATGATAAGTGTGAATTTATCCAAGTGTCTCCAGCAGGGAAATGATGAGCTCATCTTGGTCAGTGTTGGCACAGAGGGCGTGTGGGCAGTGCAGCAGATGGATGTAGGTGTGAGTAGCTCAGCACACTGAAAATCATATGAGATTATGCTTTAATATTTTACATTCTCCAGATTTTTCTTAAATGGTCTCTTTGAAGGTACAACAAGCCTGCAACAGGACGATATTATAGTATAAGTAAGGAATCGGGCTGATTGACGACGGGCCGTTGAATTATCAGAAAGAAATAGTGCACACCTGAGGTACTAGGCTGCATGCAGATGCAGACACGACGCGAAGCGATTTAATGTGGTAAAAACAAAAACATGGAAATTGTTTGTCATTTTTAGCGTTGTTTACGGTATTTATTTCCTTGTGTCGTTGTGGTTTTGGTTATTCTGCTTTTGTAATCTGTAAAGAAATTTGAAATAACTGAAATCGTTTGGCGGAATGGAACTGAAATGCGGTCAAAACCTGCCTGGAACTACTTTAGCCGTGCGCGTGTCCCTGAAAATAGTTTCACATCTTATCGTTCTTCAAACAATTCAAGCATTCAACAGCCATCTCCGTTGCCTTTTTAATCCGCTTGTTACGGAAATTAAATTAATATAACGTTACATCCGTTTAAAAGTAAATTAACGTTCATGCCTGTCTATAAATAACTGAATTGTGTCTAAAAATAAACAAGGTTGGTTATTTTCACATAGGAAAATGGGCCCCATTTGGAGCTATTTTTGTGGCTTAGGCTACAAGGGTAATGTTACACGAGAATCATTTTTCCGTCCACCCCCTCAAATACACATAACAACCAGGCCATTAAAACATATTGTTCTCTGATAGCCATGAATGACTGAAACAACAGATGTAGTGTTGTGAAATTTGAATTACCTCTCTCTCTCTCTCTCTCTCTCTCTCTCTCTCTCTCTCTCTCTCTCTCTCTCTCTCTCTCTCTCTCTCTCTCTCTCTCTCTCTCTCTCTCTTTGGTAATTTGAACATTTCCATCCCACACAAATCATCCTCAATTTTCAAGAAGATGAAAATGTATGCTATCTTCATAATCCAGAAAGAATCAGGCAACTTGACCTTCCAAGTTGCTCTAAAAGCGTGGGTGAGTTTCCATTCTTAGTTTTCTTCACAAAATAGTGGATAAAGAAGCTTGCCGCATTCCCAAAATGTATAAAGTCATTGAAATACACAGTGCAACCTTTTGAACATAGACCATTTCCCTTTATTTTTGGTTTTAGTATAGGCTATGTGGATACATTTGATTTGAATTTATTTCAAATCATTGGGATAGGTTAAATGTTATGACTTTTTCAAGTTGGGATCAAATTGGTGTACTTGAGAAGAACCACCATTTTTTTATCTCTTACAATGCGTAAATTTAGTTACTAAGATACTGCAGCTCCGTTGCCATGGGTGCAGAGGTACAGAGATGGTCAAGTGTCGGCTTCTTGTATAAACCCATAAACAAATGAAAGAAAAAAGAAGAATGTCTAAAAGACATGGATGCTACAAATGAAACAGATTGGGAATTTTGTCCTGGAAAGCAAGATAATTATCCATGTGTTCTTTCGATTTTTCAAAAAAAAAAGGAGCAAAGTTCAATGTAAATTAAAAAAAAAAAAAAAAACATTGTACAAGTGAACAGATTATGAGCATTACACATTTTCTCCAAGAAATCCCATCCCCCATCTTTCGGATTTCAGCAGATGGCCATGCCACCCACGTAATAAACAAAAAAGTCCAGTGGGAGCTCAGAGGTTAGGGTGCCATCTCCATCTCTCTCTCCCAAGGGCCAGGTCCGCATCATCCAGCAAAACTTTTCATCAATATTGATAGCATATGTTCTGACGTCAAATGCTGTGGCTGTCTAACAGTCTGTCCTCTGCTCTTGTCATCCAGCCTACCATTTACACCCATTAGTTCAAAGGCTAAAAGATTTTGTTATTGGATCAGTAATAGCCATAATTGCACAGGTTGGACATAAAAAAGATGAAAAAGACAGTATTGATGCAGATAATGGCAGCCATAAACCTCATAGGATGTATAAGATATTACAAACCGGAACCGTGACTCAGGCTTATTTAACCCCAGGACAAAAGAAAAATCCCCTCTGGAGGAGATGGATGGAAAATATGCTAGACACAAAGCATCCATCCAATATTGCATCATGATATTCTCACTTTTTTGGGCTTTTCACACTGCGATTAACCCAGAGTTATTGTCGTTCTAAAGACCGATTTTAACCGGGTAAAGTAACATTTCATGCTTGTGAGTTAGAAGTGGGGTGTAAAAACCTATTGCAGTTTTAACCCCGCATTAGGGTGCCAAATGTGTTCAGTATGAAACGGCTAGAATGTTACACTTCAGCATTCAGCCAGCTCCTTAATTGTTTCCTGTCTGCCATTGCTGGACAAACTGATTAATCCAGGTGTGTCTGACCTCAGTGGTCACAACAACAATAATCAGGCACACCTGAATTAACCAAGTTTTCCAATAATGGCAGACAGGAAACAATGAGCTGGCTGAAGTTCAGTTAGAAAATCTGAATGTAGACCAGACCGTTTCATACCTTTTTGGTTCGAAATATCCATTCAGTACGCTATAATAGTAGACTAAGTCGGCAATCAGATTAGTCGAGGTTAATGAATGTAAACAGGTCGAAATATCCATTCAGTACGCTATAATAGTAGACTAAGTCGGCAATCAGATTAGTCGAGGTTAATGAATGTAAACAGGTCGCGTGCTGCGTTTATCCAATCAATGACACTGACTCACCGCAAATATGCAAATAAAAAGGCTAACCCAGGGTTATAGGCCTACAGTGTGAAACGTGAGTTTCTGAATATGCCTAATTATTAACCCCGCATACATTTTGAGCGGTGTGAGGCAAGATAACCACGGATTTAACTTTAATTAGTTTAAGTGTGAAAACTGAAAAGCCCTAATGAGAACAACATTTACAATAGCGTTCTTTAAAAGTTCCAGCAATCCACCGAACACATGAATCTGTCTGTCCTTGAACAATATATGTAGAACTAGAAAACTGAAAGGGGTTTCAAACTGTTGCTGGTGTTAAAAATAGCCTGAGCGAATAAGGAAAAAGAAAAAAGCCAGCACATTTACAAGGTTGCAGTTTGAACAGGCTTCATCAACGGGAGAGGGAGGAGGGAGATGTGTAGGCGAGAACATGAGCTGTTCAGTATTTCAAACTTTTACACACATTGCGTGCATGCAATTTCCTATGTATCTAAAATCTACATAAAGGCTCTTAATTATAGCAAAATGCAGAAGACAATATATAACATGAATCAATTCGGTTGGTCATGATGTCACAGCTGAATATAATCATTTGACCACAGAGAGCTCAGCAGAGAAGATTCCACTTTATCACAATACAGTATATTGTTTACATGTATGAATCATTACTTGACAGACAAGCAACTTTTTACTTATGATATTAGCTATTTTAACAAAGTTTGTTGAGATTGAACTTCAGAAACCATTATCTTGTCCTGATCGGATATTTTAAAAGTAGTTGCCAAGCAACAGATTATCTCTTTTCTTTAAAGTACAAGAGTGAGGACCTTGATTCTTTTGGTTTTAAAATAAACATGAACATAATGGAGAAACTAAAACCAGACAAGTGTCCTTCAAACCATTCATTCTCTCTCTCTCTCTCTCTCTCTCTCTCTCTCTCTCTCTCTCTCTCTCTCTCTCTCTCTCTCTCTCTCTCTCTCTCTCTCTCTCTCTCTCTCTCATGAATGTTTACTATGAAAAAGGAGAAAGGAAATAAAATAAAAACACTGAACATCCGTTGTATTGAGTTTTCAAATGTGAAATGATTATCACAAGAGTCTTGAAATACATTGTAGGCTATACAACGTTTTTGATATTTTTTGGTTTGTTATTACTTTTTTGTCAGTAGGCGAAAATCCAAAAATAAACTAGGCTATATATATATATATATATATATATATATATATATATATATATATATATATTCCAACAGATAATAAAATCGTAATAAATTAGCCTATAATTAGCCTAGCTAATGTTTAATGTCTTACAATAAATTGTTTACTGACAAATAGACTTTTGTATTATCGTGATCCGTTTAACTGTGGAATTGCTGTAAACATTCATTTGAAATGTCATGTTGCGTGAGGATAAAACATGTATTTTCTTTATTGTGGTTATTGTTTGTTTTCTATTTTCATGGCATGGGTGGCATGATGCATTTTTTGATGGAGTTATCTGCCTCCTAGGATAATTGCTTTCACGGAGGAGCAATCACAGTCCCATCTAGTTTTACTTCACTCAAATTTATTTACACACGATATACTAATTTCTACAGCATTTCCCTCAAACCTAAGCACCAAAATTCTGTTACAGCAGCTCGCGCCTATGCACCTGAGCGCGCAACAGGGTGGAGAGTTTGGACCACTGCCTCCGTTTAGATTTGTCCAAATCTGGCTCTGCGCGTTGAAAGGGATCCCATATTTATCCTACGTCACCATTACAGCAGCAAAATGCAGATACTTGGCGATCAGATTCAGATCCATTTATGCACGCCCCCTCCCATCATTGCCTCAGGCGCGCGCTCTATATAAGGGATCTGGAGGCAATGTTTCCATCAGAAGCTTGGAAAGCGAGCGAGCGAGAGAGATCCATAGCACACCAACAGTAAAACTTAAGAAACGATAGAGGATATATGAGGAAACAAAAAATGTTTACTTAGTAGCTTGGTTTATGCTCCAAAACTTAGAAGAAGTGGCGTCTGCCCCGAATGATGGCTGAGTAGCTGTTTTCACCCCAAATATTCGTCCATTCCAACGATTCTTTGGACGAGAGAAGATGTACCGGTCCACTAAAGGAGCGTCAAAGGCTCGGAGGGATCAAATCAACGCAGAAATTCGCAACTTAAAAGATCTTCTGCCCATCTCCGATGCCGACAAAGCTCGTCTTTCCTATCTTCACATCATGTCACTAGCATGCATTTACACAAGAAAGTCCGTCTTTTTCTCTCAAGGTAGGGTCAACTTAAAACTGTTTTTTTTTTAAACTTTACAGTAAAGTTCCAGTTTTACATGTTACAATTTTAAGTCTCTTGAAAGCATCGTTAGATGGTTTTCTAAAGAACTAGGTAGCATTTAAAACCTCAATTTGTTGGAGAGAACAGATCTGAGGTTTAGCTGATAACTGAGGAATGTCTGCCCCTGTCCAGAGTTCTGAAAGTAGCTGTTCTCTGTCTGTGGTGCTGATGTTGAACTATTTGTGTCTTTTTAATTGCTTGAGATAATTTTTTTTTCACAATGCGCATATTATAGTATAGATCTTTATGTATTATCTTCAAAGTTTGTTTTGTCTTTATCAGTGGCAGGAGTTCACGACATGAGCGGAAGCGCCCTGTCTTTGCCGGAACTCTCTGATCTTCTGCACACACTACCTGGCTTTCTCCTAGTGCTGACGAGTGAAGGAAAACTCCTGCATCTGTCGGACAACGTGGCAGAGCACCTCGGTCATTCCATGGTAAGGATTCGGTATATCAATGTACATTTTTTAATCATTATAACAATTTGTTGAACATTTGAACATTTAAAAAGAACCATTTCTGCATTCTTCAGGTGGATCTGGTGGCTCAGGGTGACAGCGTGTATGACATTATAGACCCAGCCGACCACTTCATCATGAAGGGAAACCTTGTGCCGATCACCTCAACTGACACAGGTAATTTACACTGTTGGTTTTGACATCTCATTCAAGAAATTGAAATGAATGTAATTTGTAAAATAATTATAATTTTCACTCTTCTCATGACTCTTTTTGTCCAGACCGGCTCTTTCGCTGCCGTTTCAGCACTTCGAAGTTTGTGAGGAGGCAAGGGTCAGGGAACAAACTGGCGTTGGTTCGGGCACGCTGTCTGCCACCTCCATACCACACGTCGTCCTACTGGACATCCAATCCAGTGTGGGTGTGTTTTTGCTCCCCGCTGGAGTCCAGTGTCCCTCAGGTTTCTTCAGCTAGGAATCCTCTCCCCACCCCTCCTGCTGAGCAGTCGTTCCTCCTTTCCTGTTTCCAGTCTCAGCACAGCCAGGACATGAGAATCCATGCTGCTCAGGACAGGTACAGTGAATGTCCCTGTCGGTACATGATGAATATGCATTTGAGAGTGAGGGAATGATGGCGTTGTATTTCTCTCTCTGACAGTGTAAGCGTGTACCTTGGTTATGACATAGAGACTCTGCGCTCTCGCTCATGGTACAGTCTGATTCATCCTCGTGATCTCTCTCATGCCTCTGCACAACACTGCGCCCTGTGTGAGTACTTAACTTCATCTCTCAATATTTAGAAGTTTATACCATATTTATAAAAGCTGGTCTAGTAAATGTGGTTTATTAATTGGTCGTTGTGTCCTTTTTCAGTACACGAGGGTGGAGAGAGGCAAGTGGAGATGGTGGTCCAGGTAGAGGCAGCAGACCACACTTGGGTCTGGCTTTACATTGTTCTTCAGCTGGAGACTGGAGAATATCCCATCAACAGCCACAACTACGTCATAAGGTATAAAGGCTACCAGCGTTTAAGTGTAATGTACTGTAAAATAAAAAAATAAAAAAAGATATTTATAATTTTAGTTAAGTTATATAATTATCAATAAAAATAATTAATGTTTATATTAGGGCTGTCAAACGATTAATCGCGATTAATCACATCCAAAATAAAAGTTTGTGTTTACATAATATATGTGGGTGCACTGTGTATAATTATTTTGTATATATATAAACACACACACATGCATGTATATTTAAGAAAAAAATATTATTTATATATAAAATATTTAGAATTTTATATTATATAAATCTATACACATATTAAGTGTATATAAATATATACAAGCATGTGTGTGTATTTATATATAAATAAAATAATTATACACAGTGCACCCACATATATTATGTAAACACAAACTTTTATTTTGCATGCGATTAATCATTTGACAGCCCTAATTTTTTATCCATTTTAATAATTAAAAAAAAATATTTTACAATTTTTTAAAAATATTTCTTATAACTGATATTATATTAAATATATTAAAACTATAATTTATTATAATAGTAATTTTGATAAATATTTAACATTTATCTTCAAACATGCTATGAACATAATAGCATACTATGAATAATCATAACAATCTGTCATTTTCTCTACCCATCCCTCAGTGAGTCTGAAGCCTGGTCAGTGCGTCAGCAGTTGTACTCGGAGCAGAATCAGCTGGCTGTCCTGTACCAGGAGCCACGGCAGATCTCTGACCCTCTGTCCAGCCCAGACCAGGTCTTCACACCCAGCAGCAGTGGCCTGTCCTCCCAGTCCTTCGACTTTAGCTTCACCACATCTGGACGGAGCTCCTCAGAAGAGCTCCCCAGTACCTCTGCCCCATCCAGCATAGCACTGGACCCCCTTCAGGGCTATTCTCAGGACGAAAAGTTGCAGACGAGCCACCTGCAACTGCATGGCGGTGACCAGATGTGGAGATCAGCCATGAGTGTGTCTGCATCCCCTGAACATCTCAGCAACATCAACATCCCAACAATCCCCCATCCCCATGTTGCCCCATCGCCCCTTCCTCCATTCAAAACTCCACCTAAGCGCCAAAGCTCGGAGGAGTATATTTGCACGCCCCCTTACACCCCAAGACTCAGAGGGGGGACTTTCATGTTTGGTGATGAGACTTTTAAATCAGACCACAACAAAGCAAGTCAAACGAGGCCGTCTATAACCTCAGCCAGCATTGGTCCCGCTCAACACTGCCGAAAACGTCTTTATGAAACGCTGCCTCCCACTCCAGACAGCCCAGGCAGTGATGAATACATTCTCATGGCGCTCCCAGAGATCAGGGGACCTCTTTACGTAGACGTCCCCCATTTCCCATTCAGTGCCCTCCCCGAAGGCCTTTTAACCCCAGAGGCCTCGCCCACCAAAAAGCCCTGTTTGAGTTTCTTCCCTCGGGAAGAGGATACCGAAAGAGAGAGAATGGAGATCTCGCAATTGGCGCAGTATATTAGCACTTTAGCTGAGGGTTTCTGTCACAGCCACTCACAAAGCGCGTCGGCTCCCCCTCATCACTCATCGTTTGAGGGCGCCAACTCCTCACTGGCTCACATTGATGTCTTTATGTTTGAGGAGAAAGCAGTAGATGGCACCCCTCTTCCAAATCTGCCATCCACCTCCCCCGCACCTCCCTCACCTTACTCATCGGCGCCGTCCTACGCTCAGCACTCCCCTGTCCACGCGCAGGAGGAGGCTGCGGCTTTGAGCGGCGTACACCACTTCTGTAGCGTCCGGTCGACGCACCATAATTGCATGGACGGGGGTGGGCCGCAGGAAGCAGAGAGACCCGAAGAGGACGTGGAGATGATGTCCACCACAGGTCCAGCCCTTCCTGCCCTCACCCCTGCTCTGCCTTGTGCCCAGTCCCTCTTAGAGGAGCTGGTCGCCATGGAACCTGTGTTTGGGGCAGCCGCCCTGATGACTCCTGCCGAGAGGCAACAAGATGAGTTGTATCAACTCCCTCATCAAGGCGGACAACAGATCTTCTACCAAGGCGAGTAAATGGTGCCGTTTTTGTGATTTCAGCACGAGTGTCTCTAAATGTTGTTTCTAAATTGTTCTTTTTCTGTCTTTTCTTACAGATGGAACCAGTGATCACACGTGTTAACATAAGTCTGTGACTTATTCGATGAAGTATGGCATATTGTCATCTTTTACGAAGCTATTTTTCTGGGATAATGTGTTAGAGTTCGATTAAAATGTGTTGAAAATATTTATTATGTTTATATTTCAATATCATGAAGTCCCATGAACATGCATCCTATTCATATTGGACTGTCACTTTGGGGAAAAGTACTTAAAGTAACAAAGGCAATTGCCACTTTGTATTCACTTATAGTGAAGACTGTGTTTTACTGTTTATGAATCACAATTGTATCTTATAAGTCATCGTAGAGTTCTACGGTCAAGTAGAGGATTGATTCCTAGCTACAGTGCTCTCTTTCTAAATGCTTTTCATTGTGTCAGTGCATAAAAACCATAGAAATGCTTCATAATAAACAGTATTCCTTTATGTTTTGTCCTTTATGAGATTTCAAGACACTCTTGGAAATAAAGGTTCTGTATTGGCATCGGTGGTTCAGTGCAGTACATTGAAACTTTAAATTGCACAATAAACTCTTAGCGTAGTTCATCGGTTTCTTTGGCGAACCCAAAATGATTCAGACCTGTTGGAAGCGTTATTACTTTTAAGAATGGATTTTCTTGTTTCCACAAAGAACACCCTTGAATTCGATGCTCTCTTGTCTTCAAAATATGTATATGAGAGTCAATTAAATGCATCAAAGCGAGGTTCATCTGTGTTCATCATTGTCGCTGCCCCCTCCATTGTTCCCTCCTCTCTCACCCCTTTCATTCACTGCCTTTTTAGTGTGTCGCCATGGTTTCCTAGGACCGACTGACGCAGATGATGAGGTGCTATCTGTTTTTCCTGACGTATGCTCTTGACTCAGAGGCACAGTGGAGACAATCAGCCTCCCACACACACATATATGTCCACCGAACACAAGCTGTACAGTGAATAGTCAGCCTACACTTTCCCATTATACCTGGAAGCTCACGATAATACCCTATATGGCCTTTCCTGCCTCTCAATATCTGTTTCCATTTTATCTCTTGTTGCCAGGGGAAGCGATTTCTTCCTTTCACAATCTCCACCTCCGGTGCCCCTAAACCATTGTTTGCTTGTCAATTATCCAGTTATGCACCTTTTGCATTGAGTCCGGCGTCCGGTGCAGCGCTGACCCTCCCACACGGGACCATGGGCCAACTTTACCGCCCCCGTGTCCAGAAATACCCTCAAAAAGAGTTTCATCTGAATGAAATTCTCTCATGTCTTGTCTTCCTGTCCTTGTGAGAATGATGTGCTTTCAGCAAATGAAGAGGAATAAAAATAGCCCCGAACTGAAAATGGGGAGCGCCTGGAAGGTGCACAAGGACTTCTAGGTGCTTATTCACCCTGCTTTCCTCCCACTCCTACAATCAGTCAGCTGGATTTCTTTTCATCCTCCCTCTTTCACACATCTGTGCTTACTCATTCATATCGTCCCATTCATTAGGACCCTCTCTCCTTATGAGTCACCCATACCTCTTTAACTCATCTCTCCCTTCTTTGCTCTCCTGCTCTTCACCCGTCCTCCATGTCCACACAAACAGCCCGTGCCCACTTAAATCATAATGGAAATGCAAAAATTAAGACGCTCTCATCTTGTTTTCTGGAAAATACGATGAAAACATCCACCTACATTGTGTGGCCTATACTGTTCAAAGAGGAACAAAACACAAGCTCTAATGCTATGGTGCAACGTCAGAAAGAACAATTTTCTCAACTAAATTGGTAGACATTTAGCAAAGTAAACAAAACAAAAAGCTTTCAAATAAAAATTACATGTTCATAGCCAGCAGCCATATCACCCCCCACTGAAGCTAGTCAGTACCTGGATGGGAGACCTCTTGGGGAAACTAGTGTTACTGGTGCCAGTAGGGGTGACACTATACTGTCAAAAAGCACCGCCTTTGGATGAGATTAAACCGAGGTCCTGACTCTCTGTGGTCATTAAAAATCCCAGGATGTCCTTCGAAAAAAGAGTAGGAGTGTAACCCCAAATTAGCCCATTGGCTTCTGTCCATCATCATGGCCTTCTAATCATCTCTATATACACTTGGCTTCATGGCTCCGTCTCCGCTCCACCAACATGGCTGCTGTCACATCATTCAGGTGGATGGCACATTACATTAACATTTATTCTTTTAGCTGATGCTTTTATCCAAAGTACACGCCTCTGGAGAAACTAGGGGTTAAGTGTCTTGCTCAGGGATACATTGGTGTCTCAAAGTGGATTCTAACCTGGGTCTCTCACACCAAAGGCATGTGTCTTATCCACCACGCCATCACCTCCAGGTTGAGGAGATTCATCCCTTCCAAAGCGCATTGAGTGCCGAGAAATGTAACAAATTCTTATTATTATTCTCACTTTCATGATGGCCTGCATTGCACAAAGAAGTTTTATTGTCTCTCTTTTTTGAATTGTCAGTTTTATCTGCTGTAAAGACTGCTCAATGCTGACGTTCAGTGGTCATTATTGGGAATAGTACAGAATGCTTTAATTATGTCCCTGTTTCTCTCTTCAGCAAATGTAACCTCTCATTAATAACAGACAAATAACCAAATTATTCTTTAAAACTATCTATTTTCTGAAAAATGCTCATTTTGACGAATAAAACAAATATATTTATATTAAACACATAATAGTATAGTTAGCATAATAGTTATGTAATAATACACACACACACACAAAAAGATTTTAATGTTTTGGTGTCAGTGTGAAAAAGAAGTCACCAACACAGCCAGCATGCAGTTTTAGGCCATTTTCAGTCAATGATTTTATTGACAAGTGCACATTAAATAGCTACAGATAAAAATGCTTATTTTTTCAAAAACAAACATATGCTAATTACAATTGTGATTTTCAGTGATATTTCACATAATTGTGCAGCTGCAGCCAGAATGGACGACTGTCAACAACAAGGTGTTCGTTTGCGGAGGTGGACAGAAGCCTATTAAAGTTGGCTACATTTAGGCTACCTGAGTAGTAGACTACACTTTTTGAGCATCTTTACTTGAGTATTATTTTTTTTTCTGGAAACCTTTTACTTTATCTTCACTAGAATTGAAAGACAAATACTCCCCTATACCTGGAAGGTCCTTGTGTAGAAAGTAGGAACGTCAGTCAGGGGATGATTTTAGTTGCAAGGGTTGCGTTTTTGCTGGAAATGAAAGTTTGACGTTGGATTCTGACATCAACCTGCAACACCACAGACCATTTTTTTTTTTTTTACTTTGAACCCCTCAAATAGTATAAAAATATTCTATTGTTTTAATTAAGCCGTTTTTTATTTATTGCATGATTTGCATTTCTTATGTTTTCTTTTTTTTTCTTTTTTTTCTCTTATGTTTTCTAAACAAAAAAAAAAAAAACTAACAATCGGACATGTAAACTTGAAAACCCATCCACTAGATGGCAGTATTAAGCGGTTCAGTATAGAGCTCGTAACTGGTCTGGGATCGAGGAAGATTCCTCCGTATCGATGACGTATTTTCAACATGGCGACGTGCATGTCGCTAACATAACTGTGTTGGGGTGAAATGATTCGTCCTCTTTCCTCTTCTGACTGAAAACTAAAGTCAGCACTTAAGAAACGTCCGCTACTTTATTTGAACGCAACGTACATACAGGTAAATTAAATATAAAAATAATAATTTTACAATGTGTTTCACTATGTCCCACAGTTAAACTGAGATGATAATACTCATCGTATGATTCGATTTTGCAGTTGTTCAAACAGATGAATTAAGAATGTCTTTTCTTGGAAGTCTGAGACCAATGCTCTCGTCTGTTTTGCAGGGTGAGTCTTTGCAGCACCATTTAATTCACTTTTAAAGTAAATAATTGAAATGGTTTTAAAGTAAGGAATTAAAATGAATGATGCCACCCTCTACTATATTATTTTGTCAGCATCACAGTCTGTACCTTTCTGGTCTGGACCCGTCTTCACCAGAACCATGGCCACTCTTAATCAGATGCACCGTAAGGGCAGACCTCCCCCACCTCGTCCAAAGATCAGTGCCACTTTTGGACATCCACAGCTCAAAGCTGTAGTTCTGAAGACCATGATCAGGAAACCCAAGAAGCCCAACTCGGCAAACCGCAAGTGTGCACGAGTACGTCTTTCCAATGGTCAAGAGGCTGTTGTGTACATCCCAGGGGAAGGACACAACCTCCAGGAACACAATGTGGTTCTGGTGAAAGGAGGGAGGACACAGGACTTACCAGGGGTCAAACTCAAAGTTGTCAGGGGCAAATATGACTGTGCACATGTCGTAAAGAAGAAACAATAATTACTATTACTGCGTATAACTCGATATATCTTCTTGACTGTAATAACAAATAAACTTGGTTTGAAATGTAAATCATGATGGTCAAGCCTAATTCGTACAGATATTCCTCCCAACAGTGAGCTGATACTACATTATGTAGATCAATACTCTGACAAAAATAAAAGTTGTTGGTCTTTGCTGGTATTTCCTGACGTAAGAAACTATTATTGAAGGATCAAGAATGATTATGAGTTGGTTTATCTACAACCAGTATTATTTTAGTTTCACCTGCAACTCGATTTGCCTGAGCTTTTTGCTATTGGAGAACCACAATCCAGTTTGGCAGGGTCAAACTGGATTGTGGTAATTTTACACTGAATTACAATTATTATAATTTTTTTCCCCTTATGTTTTTTCCAAACCCGCGTGACTTATGTGGAACTCGATAAAAGAAAACTATCTTAAAAATGTCACATTTCAAAATATCTTTATTAACCACAGAAAAAGGAAGACTGGTTTGAACCCTATGGGTTGTATGACATAAAGGTGAGTAAATTCTATTACTTTTTGTGTGTGTGTGTGTGTGCGCGAACTATCCCTAAATGTAAAACGTATAAGCATTGTGGACATTTTTAGGCTATTTTAGACTAAGATATTGTACTGTAAAATACAAAGTGCCTCCTGGATAAGAATATGATTTTGATTAAAAATCAAGAGCAAGCACCTCTGTATTCCTTTTCAGAGCCATATATGAAGTAGACCTACTCAAATGATTGGATTATCCCATTTGTTGTAATAATCACAAATCCGTTCTAATCTTTTATGCAGGTTTCACTTGACTTGACCAATACCCTGAGGACTACTTTTGCCAGACGGCTCCCCAGAAAATGATCAGAAATTATCAAGCAGAGCTGTCCTTTTTGAGTGAGTCCATCAAAAACAGAAACGCAGTGCCTTACACGTACATGTGCCCTGATACAATCAGCAACAGTGTCACCATTTGACACATAGCAGTGTAACCCAGTACTAAAATATGATGTTCTAGTATTATGTTCTAGTATTATTTTAACACACAGTCACCTGGTTTCACAGACAAGTGTGTAAGCCTAGTCCCTAGACCCATGTTTGAGGTGTTTTTTACTGGAAGCATAACTTAAAATATGTTACTGCCATTGTTTTGTCTCAAGATGCACA